GGCTGGAGTGCAGTGGCATGCTCACGGCCACCCCAGTGTCAACCTGCGGGGCTCCTTCCGCCTCAGCCATCCAAGTAGCTAGAACTACAGGTGTGTGCTACCATGCCTGGCTAATTTTTGATTTATTGTAGAGATGAGGTCTTGCCAAGTTGCCCAGGCAGATCTCGAACTCGAGGGCTCAGACAATCCACTCGCCTTGGTCTTTGTTCCAAAGTGCTGGGATTACAGGTTGAGCCACTGAACCCAGCCCTTCAACAACTTTTAAGCATATTAAAAAGGTGTCCTTGAGAAAAGAAGTTTGAGAACTTTTGATATAAAGCACGAGATATGAGGAAAACAGTACCTACTTAAAAACAAAAAATAGCTCTTTATTTTCCTTCATATCTCCTACCAATCAACTCTGCAACTGAATAGTTTTGAAGAATATAACTAAATATTTGAAGAAAAGATGTGAAAAAACTACAAATTGGTAACAGATTTAATTAGCTAGAGTGTGCTAGATCACTCCTGGACAAAAGTATGTATTGCTGTATTTTGTTGCTAGCTGGAAAATTTCATTCCTGATAAAACAGGCAAGAATTTTCTATTTAATCTTTAGTCAAATTCATGTTCTGAACCACTAACAGGATTCCATTAAATTTACTGGAGTTTGACAGGGTGCGGTGGCTCAAGCCTATAATTCCAGCACTATGGGAGGCCAAGGTGAGAGGACTGACTGAACCCACAGGTTCGAGATCAGTCTGGGCAACTTGGTGAGACGTCGTCTTTACAATATATAAAAAAACTAGCCCGGCATGGTCGTGAGTGACTGCAGTTCCGGCTACTTGGAAGGCTGAAGCTAAAGATTGCCTGAGCCCAGCAGGTCGACGCTGGGGTGGCTGTGAGGTGCCACTGCACTCTAGCCTGAGTGACAGAGTAAGATTTCAACTCAAAAAAAAAAAAAAAAAAAAAAATACAGGCACTCTACTTGAACTATAAAGGAAAAAATACTTGACAGTACTTCTCTTTAAAACATCTTTGAAAAGCATTTTGTACTTATTTTTTAGCAGGTAAGAACACTGTACTCAAGAGCTAAGTTACAGGTTCAAAGTTAGCTTTGATCTACTCTCTTAGGGTAGGCCCTCACTTCTTAACCTTTGCCACTTGTTTCAAAGTCTGTCACATACCTGACCTGTCAAGGGGGCCTGGGTGACATACTAATGCTGCATCAGCACAAATTTGTTTTACTGGAAAAACAACTCAAAGTACGTATTTTGTCAATTCAAAGGTTGTGTTCAGTCAAATAGTTTTACTTTGGAGGAGTTAAATATTTAAGAAACAATTAGTATGAAACCAGGAGTTCCAGGCTTTGGGTAAATTTTTGGATCAACGGGAAAAAAAATCAATTTAATAAGGCATTTGGACAGTCACTTGGAAATCACTAGAGAATCAAATTTCAATTATTCATGGTAAAAGGAAAAAAAGACTATTACCAATGCAATTGAACAGGTAAAAAAAAGTGATTGTAGTAATTTTATCTTAGAGCAAAAAAATGAAATTTAAAGAAAATGCAGGCCAGGTGTGGTGGCTCATGCCTATAATCTCAGCACTTTGGGAGGCCAAGGTAGGAGGATTGCTTGAACCCAGGAGTTTGAGACCAGTATGGGCAATGCAAGACTTCGTCTTTACAAAAAAAAAAAAAAAAATTAGCCAGGTGTGATGGTGCACATGCCTGTAGTTCCAGCTACTAGGGAGGCTGAGGCAGAAGGACTGCCTGAGCCCTGGAGGTCAAGGTTGTGGTGAGTCACGATCATGCCACTGCACTACAGCCAGAGCGACAGAGTGAGAACTTGACTTAAAAAATTTTTAAAAAGCCGGGTTTGGTGGCTCAGCTTGTAATCCCACACCTTGGGAGGCTGAGGTGAGTGAATTGCCTGAGCCCGCGGGTCAAAGACCCGCTTGGGCAACTTGGTGAGACCTCATCTCTACAATAAACCAAAAAATTAGCCGGGCATGGTAGCGCACGCCTGTAGTTCCAGCAACTTGGAAGGCTGAGGCAGAAGGATCGCTGGAGTCCAGCAGGTTGAGGCCGCGGTGGCTGGGAGCGGCCACTGCACTCCAGTCTGGGCGACTGAGTGAGACTCCAACTCAAAAAAGAAAAAAAAAAATTAAAAATTAAAATAAAAATTATCTTTTAATTTTTCTGAGTTGGATTCTCACTCTATCGCCCAGGCTAGAGTGCAGTGGCACCCTCATGGCCACCGCAGCCTTGACCTGCTGGGTGCAGGTGATCCTTCCACCTCAGCCTTTCAAGTAGCTGGAATGATAGATGGGAGTGTGCCACCATGCTGGGCTAATTTTTAAAATTTATTATAGAGATGAGGTCTTGCCATGTTGTCCAAGTTGGTCTGGAACCTAAGGGCTCAGGCAATCCTCTCACCTCAGCCTCCCAAAGTGCTGGGAGGTGTGAGCCACCGCGCCCGGCCTTTAAAAAAAAAACAACAACAGAGTAATAAGTACTTGGACTGTGTACCTGTCAGAGCTCTAAGTGCTAACAATAATTATAAGTGAGATCCTAATAAGGCAAGGAAGTAGACTGTGAAGGAAGAAAAAGACCAAACATCTGAACAATACATAAATTAGCTCATCAACTACCAAATAGCTGATACTTAGCTTTATGAAAACCAATTCTGTTCTTAGCTAATATTACTCCTTTCCAAACATATCCAGCCTTAATTCCACTTAAAAAAAAAAGACTTACAATGAAAGAACTATGTAAATTATACCTCAGATAGCAGCATATTCTAAAATCCTTTGATGTTTCCCCAAACAATTATTTTGGTATAAAGGGCCACTTAAATTGAAAAGGCATGTAAAGCACCTACCAGGCAGTCTCTTGAATGCCAATTTCAGAAAAAAATCATAATTAAATTAATGCTGACACCTAGTGGCAAGAAAGAACATCTTTCTTTTATAATGCTACCTGAATTGTACCTTCCAAACCAGACACTTCCAAATTCCTTCAAAAGATTATCCATTTAGTCTATTTAAGAATTATCCACTAACCTTAAGTAAAGAATAAGAGAGCAGTTCCCAAATACTAAAAAACTATTTGCAGGCATAAAACTGGTAGCAGAATCCTTTCCTGGGTATGGGTGGTGGTACTGAAGGGAGTCCTTATGAGAAATCTGCATTTGAAATTATAAAATTTTAACCTTAAAAGGTCAGAAAATATAACTTTAAAAATTAAGAATCCAGCTACTTGGAAGGCTGAGGTGGAAGGACTGCCAGAGCCCAGCAGGTCGAGGCTGTGGTGGCTGTGAGCGTGCCACTGTACTCCAGCCTGGGAGACAAAGTGAGACTCCGACTCAAAAAAATAAAAATAAAAATTAAGAATGCAGCTGAGTATTTCACGTGACAGAGATGCCACTAATTAACAAACTGTGGGATGCATTTTAATTCTGGTTAGGATAGACTAGTTCCCCTTTAAAAATGTTTTAATTTTTAAAAAGTAAAATGACAAACGAAAAGCCCACAGCTTTTCTCAATACTCATAAAACAGAACTGCAAACACTACAAGCTTTGCAAAGCCACTGTCTGTTTGAATGGCTCAATTCAATCAAACGTTGTGCCCAATTTCCAAACACCATGAATGCATAGTGTGAATTTTGATCAAACACCACTCTGTGTAAAAATATGAAGGAATATTTAAAATTCTACATGAAATTCTAAGATTAAATGTTTTGGAAATTCAGGGACAATCAATTTTGATATATCTATTTTCAACTGAAGAAATTTTCCATCCCGCAGGCTGGTATACTTGAACTGCTGTGCTGACTAGCAAAAACTGGCCATCAGTTTGAATTAATATTTTTATAAGCTTTCATTTAAAAATAAGTATTATTTCCTATAAAGATACAATTATAATCCATTTTAAACTAAAGAGGTAAGCCTATAATATGCCATATCGATCAATAAGAAAATGCTATACACAGCACATTGAGAAATATGTCTTTGTCCTCTTAAAAACAATCCCAAGCACAGATTTAGGTTTCCTACAGAATCGGTTTGCTAGCACTTCAAAATGTCCACCTCCTTCAATTTCTTTGCCACTTAAAGATAAATTCACTGAAAGGAAGCAAAATATCTGACTCAACTAAGACATTCATCAACCCTTCAGTTAAATCTCTGGAGTGAAGTAAAATCCTAAAGACAATTCATTATTTTTAAAAAGCATGGACTGAACACTGTGATTTTAAGGCATAAATAGACCTCTCCTGAATCTGGCGGGTGGGCGTAAATCACTAGTTATAAGTAAATTAAAAGACAAAAAAAATCCCTGTCAAGGGGCAAGTTGCTTCACTTTGGATGGGAAGTGTCAGGGTGAGGCAAAGGCAGGAATGGCCATTTACCAGGGCTCTGTTTTGGTGGTCAACTAGGACTATGGGGTTAAGGTCACGAAAAGACTTCGAATTCTTCTGAACCGCGGTCGGATTTGGGGAAACTGAGCAACCCACTCTCATCTTCTCGAACAAGGAAACTTGGGTGGCTGGGGGAACAATACGTTATTCTTGCAAGACAAACCAAGCCTGGTTGGGATCATTTGCCTACTTCGGAGTTTTCTCCCCCAGTCTGGGCCGGAGGTGGAAGGCGGTATACAAAAGGCAGGCGACAAGACAGACCCCTTGGGGGTCCGCGCTCAGGCTGGCCGGAAGGTGGAAAGCCTAACTCCGCTACCCCTCCGCCGCGGGCCGGCTCTCGGGCTGGGAGCCACGAGCCCCCCAAGGCGAAGTTCCCGCAGCAAGTGGCCGCCAGCCCCGCAGCAAGGGCGCCGTCGGGAACCAGCCCACTCCAGCTGACCGACAGCAAGGGAGAGTTCGGGGCAGGAGGGGCGCGCTCCGGAATCTGGAGCCGGCTGGGGCTCGCGGGGGGCTCCCTCCCCGGGGAACGCGCTTCCCTCTCCTCCCCTCCCCAGACCTCGGCCCGGGGAGCGAGAGGCTGGGGTTCTGCGGGGGCCTCACCAGGCGGAGCTGGCTAATTTCGTCGTAGGACATAAAGCTGAGGATGTTCTCGATGGCTACGATGGGCAGCGCCACCAGCGTGTTGTTTTGAGGCAGCTGG